ATTTATGTACGGAATAGCATCTGCTAATTATCATGCTAGACTGATGATAACGGATCACTCTCACTCATTATTGTCAGCATTTCTTGGTCCAATTATTCCTTGGTATTATTGATCAACATTCGATCGATCGCGCTACGGTTGCTGTCCGAGAGCAGTTTATAGATACAAATCCTTATATGTCGACAGCTTATACAGCATATGTGTCACGAGGACAAGATTCCGAGGTACAGAGGTACGAAGTCTATAAAAGGCCTAGGAACCTTAAGAATGCCCCCAGTAGCTGACAAGTACGCACGCCGATATGTTACTAGCGTTAGAGCTACTTAAAACTCGACCTCTTAGCTTTACCTGTATTGTATCCCTCACGTAGAACCACCCCATATCAAGATAAGTTCTCTAGACAGATTATGTCTTACTTATCCGGGTTCCCTCATGCATAAAATTATGTTTTATCCCCCTTTGGAGGCGCATCGCATAAAAGTGCCTATGTGATATTACACAAAAGACCGTCTGATCGCTCGGTATCGCCTCTAGTTGTTATCTTTTCGATAAGCTAACATGACCATCAAGTTACGTGGCAGAATGGTCAAGCCTGATGATAGACGATTTGAACACATGGTCTGACTAGTCCTGAGGTCTGCAACCTTTTTCCCTCAGACCCCATCTTAAGATATTTGTATATATATCGTTTGTATTTACTTATGTAAACTAAATATATAAGTGAAAAATATTATATAATCTCTTGTCTTTATGGCATCGTATGCAATTGTTCAACCTCGATAGTTACTTAGATTCATATACTTGTAACGGCAGATTTACATGGATTTTTCGTGTTTTTTATTATATAGATATAAATTTTACCACATAAAAATTATCAATTCTAAAGATTACTAGTATCGGAATTCTTGAGAGATCTAACTGATTCTATTTATTTGCCTTGTAGCTCGAACGGTTTGACGGTTTAGTCAAAAGGTTTGACTTTGACTTTCTGATCTAACGATCAGACGGTCAGGCTGAACAAGATTTCCCGGAACAGAGACGGACTCAAGATCAGACGTGATCGTTGTTTGCGTGCCGATTTCTTCACGCGCCATCAGGAAAGAAAGATCAAAAGATCGGCAACGACATTGAGAGAGAAGATCATCACGTCGTGGTCAGTAACGGCGCTTACATTTCCTTATCATTGCTCCGCCTCAGTCGTTATCTGAGCACTGGACGGAGAACTGATAAGGGCGCGTGAGCTGCCTCCTCTACTCACAGCCGCGAGCCGTGTCTGCTGGTCACTGCTAATGAGGATAAATGGTTGCTGGCTATGGCTAATGAGGAGACCATGTCTGCTGGTATGGTTAATGAGACATGTCTGCTGGCCACTGCTAATGAGGAGACATGTCTGCTGGTTATGGCTAATGAGTAAACCACGTCTGCTGGCTATGGCTAATGAGGAGCCATTGTCTGCTGGCCACTGATAATGAGGAGCCATTGTCTGCTGGCCACTGCTAATGAGGAGCCTTATTTGCAGGCTTTGGTCAATGAGAAGCCATGTCTGCAGGCCATGGCTAACGAGACGCCACGTCCATAGCCTAAGGAATCCACAACCATACGGTATTAATAATGAAGATTCGATTATGCAGGTCATTAATTAATATAATGTAGCACTATTTCTCTTATCTATGGCAAATTAATGAGATGTCTTGTCTGCCGATGAAGACTTCTAATGCGCACTATACGTGAAATTCCATACTATGGTGTGTGAAAATTTCGAATTACTTGTCATTCCTGTGGAAATTATGCGTGCATCAGGTTGCAACGGATTAGGGAAACTTTTGCTATGTTGCCACTGAAAACTACTTTCCATACGTCGTAACACGTAATGAGTTTCACGTCTACTGGAAATGTCTGACGAGGTTCTACTCATACAGTAAATGTTTTGAACGTCTGAAGTATATATTTTTCCTGCCTTTCCTATGCTTACTCTTCAGCAACGACCTCATTTCTGGCTCCTGCCCTCGCCCCTCGCCTTGTATTTCTGTTCGCATCCCTTCCGCCTCCTTCTCCTCTTCTCTGCTTTACGCGGCATCCCCTTCCCACTCTCCCTCCCCTCCTTCCTCTTCTCTACTTTACGCGGCATCCCCAACCCGCTCCTCTCCCTTCCCCCCCCCCTCCCCATGCATGTTTAAGCGGGCAAGCCGGCGAGTGTCAGAGGCCGCGACGCTAATTTGCCCTCTATCAACTTACAGCTGCTCCGCACATTAGATTATAGCTGCACCTAGGATTACAGCTGCATCTCGGATTACAGCTGCAACTCGGAATATAGCTGCACCTTGGTTAACTATTGGCCACGGCACCTGCAACCTGACGCAACGCTCAACCAGACTCGCGACGGCTGCTATGCAGAGAAGGCTTAGTAATGCTGGGTAATTTGACAGCGCGTGGTACTATATTAAATATCATGCCGCCAAATGCTTGTCCGTTAGGTAAAGTCACTAAGTACCTCCTTCATCTTGGGTTAAGAGGGAATTACAATGTTAGACTTTATTTATTAAAATAGTCATGAAAATTGTAAAAAGTTTTTTCATCAATCAAATCCTTCAACTGAGCGAGATTGATTCTTACTGATGGATGCGCGATATCTTAATGATTATGTTTATTTATTTGTTTCATTATTTTTTAGAAGTGGTATAAATTTCTCGGCCCACATCTTGACCCGCAACTCTACTCGTATAAAGTCAGATGGAACATTATGAAATCGTATAGAATTAAAGGACTTATGAAGGAAGAAACACTCGTGAGAATGGAACATATCTGGAAAGCTAACTCTTATGACTCGATGTATATGTGATAGCAAGTCACCATTATAATTTATTAGAGAGATGATCAGGGCAAATAATACTTTTTGAGAGGTGAATGGAACTGTGAAGGGGGGAAATTGTAGCTCAATTCAACCTACTGTATCTACCCAATTTCTAGATTATTGTAGTACACCTAACCATACAGACAGTGGTGATGTGTCAGAGAAACTTATATTTTAGTGGCATAGCCTCGCTAAACATAAATTATTTTTTTATTTTAAGTAGAGATGCTCAGGAGTTTTTTTATAATTTATGACGTTGAACGTGGCGCACAAAGTTAAGGGATATTCCCGTTATCGGTGAGTGTTTCTCTGAGCAGAAACTAGTATAATTTAGTGATGCCTTGCCAGAGCAACGTTACCTGGACTAGAATATTATTAACATGCAAGTAATTTTCAAATTTTCGATAGCATGTATTAAATTAGCATTTAATTATTATTGTTACAAGTAAATTCTCCGATAAAACTGCGAATATATTGTCAACTAGCAATGCACATGGTGGTAGCCCTAGACCACAACAAGCTGGTAACAATCTCTAGGGTGGAGTGAGATTGAAGATTTCTTTAGGCTTTCACTAAGATTATTATGCCATATTCACTTGAAAGTTTAAGAAGCAATGAAATGTATACACAATCTCACACACATTTCATGATTGAATCGTGTCCAGGGTCGAATTTAATTTACCAGCGTTCGTGCTGTATAATGTTTGTATTTGTTATGATCATCAGGTATTACGACCAACATTACTAATTACTCAGCTAGAAAGCTTTTATTCTTAATGAATGCCGAAAGATTTTCAAATTGTCATCTCCTTTGTGTTGGCGTTAATCTTGAATCAAGGACCAGTTTTTAATTAGGCCATACAAAAAGTATATAAACGGCAATTGTTGTCATGCAACTATTAATGTATCATTAACCTAGTAATCAAGAGCTCTTTTCCGCAGCTTTCTTATAAAAAGATTCTATGTTTTATGTAACTCAGAGCATGAACATGAAACTGTGATGGAAATACTCAGGCTAAGATCAATACTTCACATCACAAGAGCCCATCCCAACCCAACATTTGCGCTCTCTAATACAAATCTTGATTTTCTGTGAGCTCTCTAATTCGAATCTAGCTCTCTTGTGCGCTCTCTAAAACAAATCTTGATTTCCTGTAAGCTCTCTAATTCGAATCTAGCTCTCTTGTGCTCTCTCTAAAACAAATCTTGATTTCCTGTGAGCTCTCTAATTCGAATCTAGCTCTCTTGTGCTCTCTCTAATACAAATCTAGCTCCCCCATCACACCTCCATCACTGGAATAACACGTGGTGATCAATGCATTGTAGAGACAGCTACGTGCTAGAATTTTACCCGGCCACATTTTTTACGAGTAGTATTGCGTGTAATTTTTTCATTAGCTATATATGTCGATATGATTTCGTGAGCGCATTTTAGTTTAAACTGCAAGTTGTATCAGTAATTATGAAAATAGTTTCTGAAAATTCAATCCAGACGCAACCCAGCCTAGCCAATCACGCCAAGTTTGGGCATAGTTAGGCAGTCTGTCCGATTGCCTTGCTGTGGTGTGTTGAATGGTCAGTCAGTCGTGCGCAGATTGTCTCGCTGTTCAGTCGATGTGCGAACTTTGCTGTTCTACACTAATGTCATTTCGATTAACCGTTGATGTACCTCCACCTGATCCTCTCCTATTCCAAAGCTTGGTATTTCATTTGGGTTTTCTTGTTCCTTCTTGGAACATTTTTGATATTCTTTCATTAAGTATTAATGACCAAATGAATGGTATTTATTACTTCAAAATTTGATATCCATGCTATGTTGGAAAATAAATGGGGGAAGTATTCCCTTGGGATTAATGTTCTGGAAGTAACTCTTCAATTCGTTTTTTGACGCGACTTTTGTTTATGGCTAAGGACTTCTGAATGCCAGATCAAATTTATTGCAATTCAGAGTGCATGAAATTACCTGTTTCGGCATTATTTAAACTGATTTGTATAGAGCTTTCAATATCAAGTTTAACTCTTTAGTTTTGTCATTCGTGTGAGCGAATGAATGGTGGTTTCCCTTGGAATTTTCTCGAATGTTGGGATTGAATCAGTATCATGCTATAGGTTAAGATTTCTTAAAAATGTAACGTGGCCAGATATCTTCTCGAAATCGGTAAGGTGATACAGGAACTAATCACGTTAGTCAATTCGTGGGGCCATTGTGATAAATTTTTTCACCGCGTACCGTTGTGAAGAAATTTATGCACTGTCGTAAGCTTATAATTGACCAAGATTATCTCGGAATATCTAGACGGGGAAATTCATCGGGTTAGGATATCAGAGCTGGTATGTAAAATTATATATAAACGAAATAACGTTTCCATGTGTTGTGTATTTTCATCATTAATTGGTCGAGAATTTAGAACAAACGGTAGCTAGACTACGTTAGAAGCGTTCTTGGAGTGAAGCTGTTTAATGTTGAGCAATTAGGTGAAACGGTTAAACCCAGTTATTCGTGAAATTTCCTCCCTCCTTGGAAGTTTGAGTTGGAACTTAGAAGAATCCTCATATTTGATATAACAATTATTGATCATTCTAACATTTCGTAATCCAATTAAGATTAGCATTTTTTAGGTTTCATACTTACATTTGTCAAACGTAGAGCATGAGAATCGCCTAACCCATTGAACCTCTAATGAATTGAGTTATCTTGATCTACTTTGTACGGAAAGAGTAATCAACGTCTACTAGCAACCCAGCCTTTACCTCGCCTCGCGAAGCATCTGTTTCTGTACTCTCAACATCCTCGTACAAACGTGATAGCTACAGTGGAAGAAAAGCTGGTTCTTCGTCCCCGCTCACTGTACCATCTCCACTCCCTGGATCAGTCCCTCCAGTAGCAGCAATGGGCGTGCAGCTGCTGCAGGTGGTGGCGCTCGCCAGTGCGTTGCTGGCGACTACGTCGTCTCTCATGCTGGGTTTCGACGAGCTGTCCAGCCAGTTCCTGCCCCTGGCGCACGGTAAGCTGCTACGTGCTTACAACTTGAAGATTAATATGTGTTACATGTCTAAAAGGTGACTTTCATTTTCTAGTTCCAATTTTGAAAGTAATTTTGGTCAACTTATGATAACGGTAATTATCTTTCAAGTTCAAAGAAAATGCATTTCGAAGATGCTGTGTTCACAGGATTCGCTAAAGCTTTGCGCATTGGAATCACTGAAGCAATATATATTGGTCTTAATGCCTTGGGCTGTGGAATCTTTCGTGTTCAGACGTGTGTGAATATAATTTCTTGAATACGACGGATGACAATTGTGTTTGATTTCAGTATCGGTGCGATGCCTGCAGCCCATAGACTATGTCCCGCGTCACTGCACCACGCAGGACATGGTGCGAGGCAGGGTCATCGCTAACGAAACCATGTGGTACTACAGCCCCGACCTCCTCAAGTGTGTGCCTACCATCAAGTTCACGGGCTGTGCCACTGAGAACAGGTTAGTAGAGCCCTTAATAACTATTGATATTGGTTCAACGAGACTCGTTCTGTTTTCATTGTTAGTTAATCAGAATGTGGTGTAGAAATAAAATCTTTTGATTATCTCTTCTATTTCAAATCAGCGTGCATAATCTTGGCACAATTGATCAAATCGATCGTTCATCCTCGTAACAAAACTACAGGCCGATCTCTTCTCCTTGATCGAGGGATAACCTAACATCTAATATAAAATTTTTAATTTGGACGAGCCGTGCTTTGCACGAATGTTTCTTGATTGGGCATACCAGTAAGTTTAAAGTCTTCTGACGATGGAATTCAGGTAATCCATAGATAATCAATGATATTTTCTTGAACGCCTATGTAAATAAATTTGTCTACTTAAGGTTCGACACGTTGGAGGCGTGCACAGCCACGTGCGAGACAGGCACCCATTGCCCCGACGGCTGCTACACTGAAACTGACTTGCGTCGACGTGACAAACTTCGCTGCGTCTGCCCGGACGGTAAGATGAAATCCACATACACATCAGTTGTAAAGTTTAATCTAGAGTGTGACGTATAAATTGAAATATTCTTTTCCTTGACCGATTTTCAGTGAACTTCATTCTATAGCACTCGTATACATGAATTGATCTAGTTTTTGTTTATATAATGAATTTGTTCTGCTTGATACTTTTTGCCGCGGAAATCCTGGAGTAAAGTTTCGCGCCATAAGCTTCTTAGCATTTCTTTACCAGGTATTGGAGAATGGCTCTGCCATTTGCCACCTGATGAAGGTGACTGTGGAGACATGACTGCCGTGGCACCGATCGAGCGATATTACTACGACCCCGTAAGCAAAGAATGTCATACCTTCTCTTTCTCACGATGTGGCGGCAACAACAACAATTATGGCTCTTTGCTGATGTGCAAAGATATTTGTGCTTATGATCCGGCAAGTGAATCCACCAGTAGTTTCGCCTTGCTATTGCTTCAAATTCTGATTGCTCTCATCGCCGTAGTCACGATTCTGCATCTGATCAGCTGGAAGCTCAAGACACAGTCCGCCGTGCTCAACCAAATTAACGAGTGGCTAGTGCGTAGGAAGCGTGCATCATTTCTGTGAACTTGTTCCATAATTTTAATTAGGAAGAAGCTGAAAAATGTAATAAATGCTCATTTTTATCCAGTGTTTCATTGAGAAAATTGTCCATGTTAGTTAGTAGACGTCGCGGTTGGCGTGAGAGCTGATTTTGGCGATTGTTTAGCTTCAGGCAATTTTGTGACCTTCCAAAAATGACGGTGAAAGTACGCTAATTTATTTGGTGTTCTTGGCATCACGGAGATTCATCCATATAAACTCGCTCGACTAAACTAGTTGGAACGCTACTATGAGACCCGTCCCTGTTAGCCGTCATGCTCCAGTTTGTTTAGCTGCTGCTTTTAGAATCCTCGCAACTTTTGCGACACACCACAAGATTACTATTTTTTGGAATTTCCTTGTATGGGCGCTCGACAGAGCGACTGCTTTGTCCTAGAATTCGCTCGGAGGGATATGTGACGACAAAATCATAAGATTTGTTCAGCTCCTCGGACCATTACATGTCTTGGGTCATGCATGTCACTTGGGTTTGGTCATGCACGTCACTTGGTTTGGTGTGTTGTTATCTCGCCACAGGGCTGTGTTCGACCAAAGTTAGAATATCTAGCTAGGGGCGAGACCTGGACCGAGAACTGCTTATGGCATTTGATGATCACGATGATCCTAGGCTTCTGGCTCAGTTAGCGCCCACTGAAAACTTCGGTTGAATTGCGGAAATCTTCAGATTAACTTCTGTCTTGCCAAATCTGTTTTGGAGAAACTAGACGCGAGCTGTGACTGAGAAGAGGTCGTCACTGGCCTCTGGTAGATGGCATGGTTTCAAAACCAAATATCGTTAAGCGGGTGATTTTTCTAGATGCCTCCTGTCTAATTGGTTGAGAAATTTACGCCACTTTACTCTATGCGTTGCGATATTGCCTCTTTTAAAGAAGTCAGTTCCTCCACATATCACTTTTCGAAAAAGAGGTAAAATATGATATTTTCTTGCCTTAACGACTTTGGTATTCCTACTACAATGGTTAGCAGCCTGCAACAGAATATGCATTCGTACAGAGAATTTTTTAAGCGTTATCTTTTATCGTTTCGAGATACTTAAGTGATGTTTGTATTTGAGACATTGTCCCAGTGGACAATGCTTAGCGCTCTAAAATTCGAGCAGCGATTCGGGAGTTCAATGTCCGCAATACGCTGAAAAGTCCAAATCTAGCATCGACTGCAACCAAAAATAGTGCGCCTATAGTATACGTGTGGTCTTCACCTTAACAGGATCTGCCTATAAGTGTGTTGTGCTCCTGAGTCCTTGCGTGAAGCGCATCCCGAGCGTGTGAATTTCTTGGTTAGGCTTGTCACGTCACCATTGTGGCGTGCTACCCACGATTATTTTTTTTTTGTGTGACCTGTCTTCTGGCTTGAATTGGGAGATAATCATTGATGACTGAATTTGGAGACCCGCCGTAAATTTGTCCGAAACGTCGCTCAAAGGACGTTAGGTTATGAATTCTCCTTCCTTAGAGGAGAATTTTTCTTCTGCATTAAGGCCCTGATTGAAAACCGAGAGGCTTCGAACAGGCTCGACTCTTCCCTAAGCGTTTCTTCACTAATTAGGATAGAGTTTACTCCACTCGCAAATGAGATGGCGATATGGATTTTTCCATACTTACCCAGCTATTTATTTATAAGCGTCGACCAGTAACAAAAAATATGTAAACTTTGTATTAAAAGAGTTTTAATGAGAGGAAATTTCAAGAAACGTTTTTTCGAGATGTTAACGGGTTGTAATGTTTATTCTCCATTGAATGGTATACTCGGCATTCATTGATCAGCCTCCTTGTTGTAGATATTTTCTACCGAAAAATAGTTATGATCGAGCCTGCTGATACGCGGAGGGAAAATCCCGCATACTAGCTGCTAAAATGGAGGCGTTGTGCAATGTTTGAGGGAAAGAGACGTCGTGAATTACTCAACTGTCAGCTCACGACGGGTGGCATGGTAAAGGCGAAGTCAATGAGGGGCGAAGAATAATACGTGGCCAGTGGTCGGCCTAGTCCAATTAGTTATAGCCGACCGTTGGCCATTCCTCGGCCACCTGAAAGCGATCGGTTGCCGCGAAGAAGGGTTTGGCTAGGATATATTACAAAGAGTACAAGCTCGAGGGTAGCGACTGGCCGAGCTTAGGGCAGATCAATGATTTTACACGATGGTCGCGAAAACCTCGCTCTCAGACTTCGCTGCATTTTGACTACAAGCCTTAAAGGAGCTCTACTTTTCCTTCTGATGTGAATCCTATATTATGATAAATCAGTAAAGTCATGTGACTAGACAATTGAGAGATATGCCAGAAGCTACTGGCGTACATTTTTTAATATTTTGAAAACTAGTCGTAGCGTAGCTCACTTCGATTATAACTGAACGGACAACGTTAATTTTTTTAGTTGCCTTTAATACAAAAAGAAGTCATATTGACTATGAATGAAATTGTTGACTGAGATCGTGATCGCAACTTATTGCCATTTTAAGTAACAAAAGCTATTACGCAGGTACTGAAAATTGGAATACAAAGTTTTCTTCCTAAGTAGTTGACCATATTTCCTTATTTATATATGCCTCTGAGATTGAGGGTACAATTATTATTTAGGGTAATTTATTTGTATCAACAAGAAGTTGACAATACAGAGTAGGTACAGTCTTAGTACAGACAGCTATTCTCCTTGGAGCAAACCTGCAAACAGCTGAAGCTAGAATGCTTATAGCCTATTTGGTTTGCGAACGGTGACTTAAGCGATCTGCGATGATAGTGTATTTCTACGTCACTTATGTGTGTGTGTAATGTGTATTATAAAAATTTACTCAATGAAGACTAGAATGTAATCATCTGTACATTATATTAATACTATCTATAGTATGTTCGTTATCGTCTTATCGAGTAGGTACCTATGAAATTTTTACATAGGCCCTAGCTATTCTTATAATTGTTTGAGAAATCGAAATTTTTAATCATAGGCCCCCAACTGCCACTGGAATTTTAAGTTAATTAACAGGCAAACTAGAATAATATATAAGTAATTATTCTCATGAAATTACCCAGGAAAGCAGTTTCACAGATTTCATAGCCTAAGGCCCTAAGCAATCTTGAAGTTGAAGATTCTCATATGATTACTATCATACTATGTTTTAATATTTAAATTAATCACATCTCTATTTGGTCTAATAAAGATTACTCTTTTCATTGCTCTAATCATACCATCAAGGCATCAACCACCAACCAGGATTGGAATTTTTCTATTTGTTTCTGAAATCTCGCGGCTTCAACATGATGAATTTTCAATACATTTGGAATCTCGCGGCTTGATATCGCACTTTTGTTAACATTTGGATAGGAGGTAATTCATCTGACGGAAATCTCGCGGTTTCAGAAATGGCGGGAAACCTCTAGTTGCGGCCCTAAAGGCAGATGTTTTCAATGCTTGCCACCAACCGGCCCACCGGGGCTAGGGTAAACGCGGTATATTCCGACATCGTAGGTAATTCCGTCACTTCTCTAGTTTTTCCTTTATATTAAGCTTTGTTTTAGTTTCATGCGTTCTTTTAAGAAAGGTTGGAGCGCGACACTATTCTTTTGACTTACCATACCAGGCGTAGCCGCGTACCGCACGGTAGCGGCGACCAGCTGCAGCACGCAGCCCGCCCGCAGTTGTGGAGTAGAATTCGTGGGGGAAGGTGTAGTGACCTTGACGCTCCAATTATGACAGAGCGCTCCAATTTCCCAAAAGCTCATGTTCTTTTATTTATACTATGGAATGCCACCATGTAGATTTGCGTGTCGAAATACTGCAAAAACACTAGGTCTTGGCCATCTAGTGGGAAAATATTGAGATCCAAAGAGAGACATTGCATGCCACCTCGTGAGATCATCAAAAGTTCATTATTATTATGGTTTGAGACTTTTAAATATGTCTGTGAATATATTAGGAATCCTTTAAGTAAACTTGTATTCGCTGATTTCAAGTCGTAAATAAATTAATAGATGATTAAGTTGAGTAATGGATTTAGACCCATCAAAACTAATTCTGACACAACTTGAATTGGACACACACAGATTGTTCCAAGCTTTGTACAAAAATTGAAATTTGCTTAATTAAAAGCCTAATAGCTGTTAATTAAAACATAATTAAGTAGTGTTCAATATTTGTTAGTGTTCTAATTCAAAGCCATGTTGTATCCCAATACAGCTCACACAGCAAACGGAATTCGAATACGTTGATGTTGGCATTACGTATCAGTTAAATTTGAAGCGCTGACGCAATACGACTCACCATGTGTCGAATATTGCCACACACAGTGATGGAATATAGGGGTTTGGTACTGCATGGTACAATTCTATAGGTTATTCAAAAGAACCTGGTCTTATGTCATTTTGAACCGATCAACGCTTCTTTATGGACCGATCCGGTAACACAACCTTCCCCGGCAAAAGCTTTCTTACTTCTGAAGAAAGGGGCGGTTCGCTGTGTTAGCTGAGCACCTGAGCTAATAGGCTAATAGCTACACTGGCCGTGGGTGGGCCTTATTTGAATTTGAACACATGCATCGATTTGAAATCCTATACGCATAGTATACGAGTCAAGGAGCCTATATTTTTAATATCTATAAAAAATGTACGTTTCTGAAAGGATTATAATGCTGTTAACATTAACAAACTTTGAATTATCTCTAATGCAAGAAATACTTGCTTAAACAATTTTATTTTCAACATAAGCGACTGGATGCAAAAATCGGTTCACAAGAACCAACATAGCCCTGAACAAAAGTAATTTTGAATGACATTAATTTCTAAATTATAATGTATTTAGCCAGTATTTCTTGCATCAGAGATACTTTCAAGTATTTAAATGTTAACAGCATCAAAATCCATGCAGAAACGTAAACTTTTAACAGGTTTTAGACTAAAATTTACGCTCCTAGTCCAAAGAACTGAAGCGATTTGAAATCAAAAATGACAAATGAATCTATCGCGCTTTCTGGCACCTTCTGTCACAGCTGTTTGCAGTTT